CGTTTTCAACGTTTTTTTGGTCTAAATTCATCGGTTTTCCACCCTCTTTACGTTTCTGCAATCAATTTCGACACCCAGCACAGGTATAATTCGCAATTCCCTCTTTTATATTTTGCAAAAAATTTGAAAATGAAGTTTTCCTATGTTTGTGTGCTGATTTCGGTTTATGCATGTGTTGTTGAAGCTCTTGAGTAGAAACAGTTTGATTATATGTGATTATTTGCTCTAAATTTAAACATGCAAAAACTTGTCGAAAATTTTATTGTGGAATTCTCTGAGTTTACTTGATTTCTTCTTTGACGTTGTTCCAGGAATGGCTTCTAAAACAATGTTCAAGAAGAAAAAAAAATAAGAAGAACGGTGAGGGAAGCAGTCGCGATTAAACCACATATCCATGGCCGCGCGCAGAGCACGAATAAATTGAGCTACCCGATGAAAAGATGTCGGAGCACTCGACCGAGTAGTGGGACCAAACAAACTTTTTCTATTACAACAAACTGCTCGGAGTCGATATGCAACCGACTTTAGTAATGTGCGCAGACACACTAAAGCGGTTGAGGATTTTTGATCAGGTGAGCACTATCCTGCTCAACTTGAAGCTGTCGACATTCGCATTCAAGGATGATGTGCTCTACCCTGATCTGGTACGCCAATGTCTCGCCTCCGCGAAGCTGCAATACGCGAATCTTGCAAAGCCGCGAGTTGACGAGGTGGCACTCTTTTTCTTTGCTAGAGGGAAGAGATACAGCATCACCATGGAAGTCTTTTGCCAGGCTTATGGTTTTCATGAGGAGGACAAGGACCTGAGCTTCCCGAAGAAGTTCGACATCGTGAATGAGTTCTGGCAGACCATCGCCTCCAGTCCCTACAAGTCAAACTCTGCGAGCATATCTGTCATCCGCCACCCTGCTGTTTGCGTCTGCGCAAAAATCTTCAACCAGATGTTGTTCAACCGCGACTTCGGGAACAAGGTACTACTGGATGTGTTGATGCTGAGATACTTTGGTTGTGGTGATTTGGTTGCAGATTCCTTCAGCAGCAAGGTACTGGGCGAACACAACATCAACTTTGGCATAAGGTTCGCGCAAACCATCTGCGCAACGAAGGACAAATCGTACAAGAGCACGCAAGTCGAGCATATTGGGAGTCTCCTTACAACACTCTTTGTGTTTTGTGGTGTCCCTCTTCAGTTTGCTATGCAGGATGTTAGCCGGAGGAAGATGGACACAGACCATTTGATGAGTTCAAGGTTTCTAGCAGACCCGGAAACCTAAAGCTTCAAGGGCGCCTATGAAGTTACACACACCGTCGTCCTCCCCAACCCCACCATCACTGCGCTGAACACGGCAGAAGACATGCGATTTTTGTTGGGCATACCACTCTTATCCGCTGGAGCACACGCCAAAGCACCTGCTACGGCTTTTGCTCATGCTCGCGCCATCTCTTCGCGCCAACCATACTCATCACAGGGAGATGAGGAGCTGCCTTCCTACGCCTCATCTGATACAAGCGAGTTTGATCTTGCACCTATTTCTGAAGATCCTGACGAGGCAGAGTACCGGAGATGGATGGTTGCGTCTACAAAGAAGAACAAGAGCCTCATGAAGAGGGTGATGAAGATGCTTTCCAGTGGATGTCGTAGCAGCACAGTGACAGCAGCCAGGTCCGCGGAGAGACACAGCAGACGTAAGTATCGCACAGCTCGCTTTCAGAGTGAGAGTCCGAAGGACACCACCTCTCACTGATCGCTAGTAAAACCTCTCTACCACCATTGTATTATCCATTTGTGTCTTTTATTTGTCTTTTCTTTGTCTCTCTCTCACTTATTTGTACACCGGGGACGGTGTATGATAAGTCCGGGGAAGAGTATCTATCCGCATTGTTATCTTTTGCCTTTCTCTTGTGTTTTTCTTGCGTCCGCGACGTTGTCTTTGAGTCGGTCAGTTTATTTTTCATTTATTTCTTTTATGGAGTCAGTTTGTTAAATGAGTCAAAGTCAAAAATTGTGGGAACTAGGACCAAATCTATGATGACTTTAAACCATTTGTGAATGTTGACCATTTTCTTTTAGTGATCATTGTTGCAGAATCATTTAGATCGACTAATGGGAAATCCAAAGACAGAGTAGTAGACTAGAGGTGCCCATATTTCCTGACAAGTCCATTGAACCTGAGCTAATTTCTCAGCTCTTAATTTTCCCTCATCGATAAGGTTAGTGTTCATAGGGCTTGACTCTTCATTCTTACCTGACAGCAAATTCCTGTGTGATAAAATTCAGTATCCCTCTCCCTTATGAGAAAGAGAAAAGATGGTCTGGAAAAAAAATGAGAAAGAGAAAAGATGAGATGATTTTCTTTCAAAGTAAAGGGGTATGAATGTTTCCAATGATCCCATTATTTTACTTTAGAGAGGAATGATCACACATGGTTTGGAAGTGAGGGGTAGGAATGTTTCCAATGACCTCATTATTCACCTCCAACCATGAATCGAAAAAAAAAAAAGAGAAAAGAAAAGAGAAAAACGTAACAGCTTGAAAAGTGAATAAGTCTGGGGGAGAGGAAAGGTACTTCTTTGTAATATAGTTAGTTTGTTAAGGTATAAGTATGGGAATGAGTCTAGAAGTTTTTTGACACTAGTTCTGTCGATGAGACCCAATGATGATGGGATATGGATGATGTTAAGAAATTGTGGGACTAATCTGAGGAGCTGTAATGTCTACGGAGAAGTACATGGAGGTTAGATTTTGATTGATTTTTGCAACAGGTCGTCGAATGCCTTGGTCAGATTTACGCTTTTCTGAGTTTTGCGAGTTCTCACCATTGTCCTGTCACTCTTTTGGAACTGAATTTGAGTTTGTTTAAGGACAAACAAAGATCCAAGTTCGGGGGAGTTGATGGATGGAGATTTTGACTCATTCTAACCTTTTTTACTGATCATTTTTGTAGTCTTTTCAGGAAGTTTCAGGTGACTAGGAGGCTTTAGCAGAGGATTGGAGTGTCTGGAAGGCATTGGAGCAAAAAGAGATGAATCTGAGCAAAAAGAGATGAATCTGAGCAAAAAGGAGCAAATTTCATACGCAGTTGGAGAAATCTTCCACGGAGCACCTACTCCCATTTTGGACCTTCCGTGGAGCACCTGCTCTAACCTCTGGAAAAAAATAAGGAAACAATTTTACCTAATTCCTAGTCGCGTGAAAGGGAATAAAAAGTCCAGAGCCGCCTATCTTGTTCACAGATGCTATCTACGCTTTCTTTTACATTTTAGACTGAGGGTTTTTGCTTATAAGCATTTGGGAGTAGAATTCCTGCTACACTTTGAGACGAATTCTGAACCCTGTTATCGTTTCTGAGTTTTTATTCATGAATTACTTTTCAATCTGTGCTTGTGTTCTTTTCGCTATGTCTGAGTAGTTCTCTTAGCTAGATTAAGGTTTTTCAAAGAGTATTATGAGTTAAAGGATTAGTTGCAAATATGGCTTCATATCTATTGTTTTCATCATTGTTAGACTAAATACTTAGGTTGAACTGATCAATCAATCTATGAATTTAGGTTAATCAATTCATCAAAAGTGTAATAGGTTGCTAGAAGAAACATTGGTGAGCAATCTGTCCTTAGCCTGCGAGAGTTGATGCTAAGGCAAATCGTGAACAGATCAAACCAAGTTGTTAATGCTTGTCTGTAATTTTCTATGTTCAAACGGCAGTTTAGAATTTAGGTTTTTAGATAAAGTTATTGGTGCCAAGACAGTGGGTCGATATAAATTTCTGTTTGAGTTCGAGACTTGCGTTTAAATTATGCCCTGAATAGTCATATGATTTTTATCTCTGAAATTCCTGCGAATCACCTTAGTCTAGTGTTTGTCTTTAATCGAATTTGAATCATTGTTTGCCATTTTGTTTTATTTCTTTTGTTTCATACAAATCATCCTCGTCTTAGCTTTATTTTAGTCCTCGTATGGTCATAGAGTAGCACTGGTCCTCTGGATTTCTAATATTTTATATTACAGTTACATCACTGTTCTATTGCAGTAGAAACTATGAGGTACATCCAGTTGGAATCATCACTCTCTGTCGCCTCCTCTGCTGCGTTTGTGACGAGGTTGCTTTGTTTCTGTTTGGTTTGCGAGACCAGGTAGAAGTCTTTCTTGCAGAACGGTTGCTTTTGTTACTGTTCTCCGAGGATGTCCCAATACTGAAACCAGCGGCATTATCCGGAGGAGTGAAATATCATGATCCTTCCTTTATGGCAACCTCTTCATTGACTTTTGTTGGTTGGTTTGAGAAAAGTTGTGCAGGCAACAGAGAGGACGGCGAGGTATTATCTTTGGAGTGAGATCCACCTGCTTCCACTATCGGTGTGTCTGTATCCACCCCAGTAGACACCCCTGGTGTCGCAATAATACCCGTGTTGCAAATTTGCAGCGAAGGAGTCACCGGTAGTGCTACTTTCTCAGCATTAGGAGGGGATATTCCCGCGATTGTAGGAGGAGCTTCCAGCCGCAAGTAGGATCGTTAAGCTACTGGGTCTCAGGATAGCTCATCTAGTGTCTGTTTCATACACAATTGATAGACGTTACGATCTGCTGGATCTCCTGAGCTCATGTATAGTTGCATCTGCTCAAAGACTTCAGGGACAACAACGGATGGCAGTGGTTTAAAACCCAGCGGAACCGAGGGAGCCAGCAGAGGCATGATTTTGTCAGCCAGGTTGGTGTGGTGTTGACGCACGGGAGTTTCTCTTGGGAAAGAGTCTATACGCCTTGGTCTCCAGCCTTCACAGTCCTCTTTTCGTTCTGGAGGAGAGGGCATCTTTGCTTTTCGTGTGTGAATCTTAAGTAGTGGAAGCATTTTTCCCTAGTCTCTCATACTTACTATCTACTACCGCGACTCCTCTTCGTGGCAGGTTGAGAGATTTGGTCTCTCTAATGAGTTGATCCAGGTCTAGGATAACCTGAGCCCGCACGAATTCTTGCAGAACAGATTTTTTTGGGTCATACGCAATTACATTAACTTGCCTAATTTGGTCTGCAATCGCTTTAATAGTTTTGAGAGTACAGTGATTGACCGGAATCTTGTAAATCCGAATTTACACCGGGCTGTTTTGAGGAAGTTGGCTGGTGGTTTTTCAATCCATCGATCCATTACTACTCCCCAGTCATCGAAATCCAATATACCATGCTTCATCACAGTTTGAATATCAGATTCCAGGTCAAAGATGAACTGGAAGCTCTCCCTCGTCAAAGCTATTCCCTTGACTCTGTCGTAAATCTTCCATATCCTGGGCATTGAACGAAGCATACAGGCCATATTTTGACATTCTGGGTTTAATAGTCTCCCTATCAAACTTTTACCACTTCTCTCAATAGTGCTGTAGTCGTCCTCGTTAAGGAGATCAATCATAGCATCATCATCTAGCTTCATCGAACTCACGGCGTCGTTTAGAATTAGTCCATTAGCAGCAAGAAAAGGGGATTGCTTTGCCACAAACTTGCTTCTTTGCTGCTAGTGCTGGGAATAACTAAAGACGATGCCTTTAAGAACCCTAGAAAAACAGAATAATTCTTTGAAGATTTCATGAAATATTGGAAGTTTTTAGGATATCGGAGAAGATTTTGAGAGGAGATTTGGAAAATTTTCCAAAAAATCTTGAAAGGCAGCAAGGAAATCATCCTTCCAAAAATTTACTCCACTGTGATCGGACGAGGCAAAACCTCTACTCACGGGAGAGAGTCTGCAAAACATTTCTCCACCACAAAGTTTCTTACCAGAATGATTTATACAGAGATTATTATAAACAAAAATAAGAATTAGGAACATTCATAATGATCATAGCTAAAGGTAACTATAAATGAAGGCGAAGAAAAGTTCAAAAAAAAAACAGTGAAAATCAAAATCAATCGACATAAAAAGTAAAACTTAATATTTTGCAAGAAGAACAAAACGTATATATATCTCGAGGAAAGAATAACAAAAAAAAAATATATAAACTGAGTAAAGCCTAAAGTTTAGAACTACGTATCTAACAAAACATAGAAACAGAGAGATGTGTATATAGCTATATGAGCATGCTAGGATTTCGCTGAAAATTGATTGATATATATAACCTTAATAAGATATCGAACAATTAAAACAACTACACCACACGGCCAAAAACCCAAAAAGTTACAACGAATTAATTGTTAAAATCATATATAATTATATACGGCTAAAATAAATTAATTAATTATAAAAATATATTATATTTTTTATTAAGGGTAAAATGATCATTAGCCATGTTGAAAGTGAATGAGAAGGCTTGAAACTAAAAATTGACTTTTCTTATATTATATATAATAATAATTTATGTTATATAAAAACAGAAGCATTTTTAGTATTTGCTTTCAAACACTTCTAAATTGTTTTAAATTTTGTTTGGAAACAGTTTTAAGATTATCTTAATTTATTTAAATATTATTTAAAACACATTTTCTTTTATATATAATTTAATTCCAAAATTAAAATATTAATTTAGATAACTAAAAATTTTCTTAAACATAGGTTATAGTTAGTTTAAAATTCTAACTATCTTTGTAATTAAAAAAATCAGATTCCTCAACATGTTCAGGGGAGCCTAGGAGGTCGTCATTCTCTACCCAATCCCGGGTAGCAGCACTCTGGGCTACATCAGTATTACCGGCACGGTGTTTTCCTTGGTAATGACGGGAGTCGTGTTTGTTCCAGAGCAGACCTACCCTTTCCACTACCTGATGAGTCGATTTTGTCGAATTGCAGAGCTATCAAGGGGACTGCAGGGAGCATGGGAGACTCTGGTTTAGTTCAGGAGGATCGCCTCTTCTTGATTCCATCTTGTCTCGAGAGAGAGAGAGAGAGTGACCAGAGCGATATTACAGAGAGCGGTCAGATCCTATGTTACCTCTGTCTTTGTGAGAAGTGGGATATTCTTGGTTAGAGGTTGCATTCCGAGTATCCATTTTCAGGTGCCATTTTTCAGGTGGGGAGCTTTGACGATAGCTTCGATCAAACTGATCATATCGAGATGAATCAGCAGGTCTGAAGCTACGAAAGCTTTCCTGACGAGGTACATGGTCTTCTCGACGAGATGGGGGCCTTTGATTGTTTTTCTTGGGATGATCTCTGATGGAGGGAAAATGATATTCCCTGTCGACAAGATGGGGGTCTTTGATTGTTTTCCTTGGGCTGAATCCTTGATTTTTGACATGTTGCTGCCAGGGATGAGGGATCGTGAGGGAGAGGTAGTCCGTCTGAGCTGATGCCGATTGTAGTGGTCCCAAGAAGAAAACTGATGATGACTTCTCCTATCTTCTTTCTTTTGGCGATCTTCCTCCAAGCGTTACCGAGTTTGTTTGTTGTTAATGTGGGGGTTGAGAGGTTTAGAATCTCGAGCTTTGACAACTTCAACTCCTGAGGGAAATTGGATCACTTTCCTCTTAATAAGAGGCTTAAGAGCATCTAGACACTTTCACCATTGCTTCTTTGATGTCATGTTCCATGTAGGTTCCCAGAACATTACCAATTTCCTTTAGATTATTGTCAGTACAGCAGTGAGGAGAGATCCCATGGACTCTGATCCAGAAGGGAATTTATGACAGGAAGGCATCTAAGATCACCGGTTCCCAACATTGGAGAACAAACATCCACCGTTTAAAGTGGAAAAGGGCTTCATTAAGGACAATTTGCAGATCTTCTTCGTATTTGAATTTAAATTAGAATTTCTCTGTGCCAAGATCCTTACTAGATAGCTTACCTCCATTCGCAACACTTGGGGCATGAAGCCGATTAAGGCTTTAGGTTTTTGCACGCCAGGGTTGAGGACTCTGCCAATCAGACTGAGTCGATTAGCTTCGATGAGGTCTGGGTTAGCTTCATCCGGAAGACGGATAGGGGGATCCCGGATCCAGCAATGCGAGCATGCTCTGCCCTTACCTTTTTTCCTCTCGGGAGAAAGGATGATCCATCAAAACGTAAGGGGCAAGGAAGGGTTGAAGGATGAAGGAAAAGAACTTCGAACAACGAGTGCAAGAGAACCAGAAACACAAACTGAAAAATACAGTAAAGGGGACATTAAACTAGCGTAAGTGGTCGTGAAGAACACGCAGATCGGTGATGGAGAGGCCTGAGAAAATTGAAGCAGCAAGGTCTAGGTGTCATGGTGAAGGAGATTTTGAAATCATCTTTTTGGGAGTCCTAGAGCGCCACATCATATTTACGAAGCAGATAACTATTTCTTCGATTTTTAAAATACTATGGTTATCTTTCTTAGCGGCGATTAAGTCTTCGGTGACTTCTTCCAAGAGTTAAGAACTACAAGATGCTAAATGATGAACTAAATGAGGAGAATTCAACCTCAAGAAATATTTCTACTGCTAAAATCAAGAAAGAGAAGACCTTTGTCTAACTGCAACTTTCTCCAACTTGTGTATGGAGTCTAGCACCCTTCAGGGGAGTAGTGTACTCGGTCAGCTTTCAAGACATTGAAAACTTGGACATTGAAAACTCATCCTTGAAAATTCTAACTCGCTGAACGCTAACATAATATAGATTAATATATACATGGATTATACTATATACCTTAGTACCTTATGCATGTATGTGTATGTCGTATAATAATAAAGTGGTTTATCAATGCCTTAACCATATGAAATGATACTGATTAATGCATGTACAATCTTGTTGTGCTCAAACATACCTGAAGTATTGACAATTTGAGTATTCATATCCGATTTTTTTTTGTTTTGCTAAAATATGCATTGACTTTATTTTCTGTTAGTCAACTCTGTTAAATTGATAACAAAGCTGACCTAGCTGCCACTCTGAAAACCATTTTAGAAGGAAAAAAATCTGCATCCACCTCAGATGAACATTTTCTCACTCTAAAATTATGAGACATTATGGACGATACTTTCTATGGTTTCACCAAGTCGAAGGTAAGTAGACATATACCAGACAGTCACCTATCACTTCAGTATAAACGTTCTTTTCAATTATAATTCTTTTGTTTGTTGTGTTCATATATTTATAGTAGACGATTACTACTAGTTGACTACATTGTGATATAGTTCTTGTACATGTATGTGACTATAGTAGTTAACTAATGTGTGAGATGGCTATTGTAGATGTGTGTGAATGTAGCAACTAACTACTTTATGAGATAGTTTTTGTAGATGTGTGTGAATGTAGTAGTTATGTAGTAGATGGCATAGTTGGCTATTTTCATGAAAAAAATATTTTGCTCAGAATATGTGGTTATGTAGTAGATGACTATTTTCATAAAAAAAAACTGCATCCACCTCAGATGAACATCATCTCACTCTAAAATTATGAGACATTATGGATGATATTTTCTATGATTCACCAAGTTGAAGGTAAATAGACATATAGCAAGTAATCACCTATCACTTCAGTACAAACGTTCTTTTCAATTCTAATTCTTTTGTTTGTTGTGACATTGATATATCATGGTTTTTATGGTTTTTAACCATGGTATAAATCTTATTTATAGAGTCTTTTTAGTGTCTTTCGAGTCTTTGGGAGTCTTTTCAGGTCATAGGTACGTTTGGAGCTTAACTGGAGACTTTGGAGCACTTTGGAGCTTAATCAGGATCAAATTCGTCAAGAATGGATTTTGTGCTTTAGTGACGCTCGACACCATGGAGAGTGACGCGCGACACTTGTCAAAGAAATAAGGAAAAGGCGATTTTGTTTCCTATTTGAAGAAGGAGTTGGGCCCAAACGTTTCCAAGGAAGCCCAAAACGTGTCTTAGAGATATATATAGGGTTTTTATTCCTTTTTTACGAAGACCTTAGATTTTCTTAGACAGAGTTTTTGTTTTTGAGAATTTTTGGGGAGACAAGTCTGAAACTCTGTTCCGGAGAGAGAAGATTTCGAACCCCTGTTTATTAATCTATTTATTGTTTTCTGCAATCTATTCATTCATGTTTATTTTTTCAATCTCCATGTCTGAGTAGTTTGCTTGTTAGGTTTAGGGTTCTCATAAAGGATTTCATTGGATGTTAGATTGATTGGTTAGTTAGGGTTCATAATCTATTTAGTTCTTCACCATAGGTTGTTCTTAAAGCTAATTCTGGACTGGCCACCTAGAACTTAGATCTTAGGTTGCTTGATTGACACGAAAGTGTAATTGAATAACTGGAAAGAACCTAGGGTGAGCAAAGTAGCTATTCGCAAAGGAATTTGGTTTAGATACTTTGTGAACATATCGAACTTGAGCATTAAAGCTGGTTTAAATCTTTAGGGTTTGCAAAGGAATTTGGAATTCTAGGATTTTAACTTAGATAATTCTCACAACGGAAGTTGGTTAATTATAATTCTGTGATTCGAGTTCAAGAACCGTGCTTAAACCTGAACCCTGATTTATCGATTGATCTGCATGCATTGATTT